CTCGTCGTCCTACAGGCTCCCCACATCACCCATGACACAACTTCCACCGCGACGGTACCACTATAGCTAGCTGGGGGTATGACAACTAGCTAGGATGACGCACAAATCGGGCCTCGAAACACTATATGTACTATATATCGATATATCACCCACCACCATCCCACGCCGCACCTTCCTACAAGATGGTTGGGCCCTTGCCCCCTCGGGTCCTGACAGCCAATCAACGGGGCACGTTTCACGTGCTGTTGGAGGAGTGTTGGGCATGGGTTTCAAATTCTGCTAGAACGGCTGAAGCACATCATCGAGGGGGGCCAATCTAGCTAGTTAGAGATGTTGGAGTGGTTGTGGAGGGGAGATTTGGAGGTTGGTTTTTAACTGTTGGAGTATTAAGGGATGCGGTTTTAATCGTTGGTATTAATGGGTGCTGGATTGATGGTTAGGAATTGGCTATCTAGCTCTGGTACCCCTGTCCGTGAGCTATATGGAGTTACATATAACCAGAACGCCCTGGTCAGTCTGGTGACTTGACATGTATGCATTGAGTGAGTTTAATGATCTCACTTTATGCACCACGAACTGACCGACCGTAGACTAATAATTATCTTCAATTCAATGCGTCGGTATTGGGCTAGCTAGGTCACAGCTTACTCTTGACTTAAGATATACAAAATTGCGCTGGAAGCATCCCCAGTCGTATTTCAGGCCCTATTACAGCCAATGGATATTGGCAGCGAATTGTTGCATGCTGTGAGATCGATCTGATAAGGCGACGGTTTAGACCGTTTGAGTGTGGTTGGTCAAGGTTTGTTTGTCAGATATCAAACTTTGGAAGCAGGCTCATGAGCCAAGCTTTACCGGCAGTCTGGAAACCTAGATCTAAAGCTCATCAATGATCAAGAATTCTATAACAAACACCATAATAGGGCACCAATTCAACCAACGCTGCATATTCTAAGCACGCAAATTTTATTTACACTACATGGAAAGGGAAACGCAGGCATGGTCGTCTATCACACAAAATCACAGGTATCTATTTCCCCCCTCCAAGATTCTGGCCATCTCTTCCGCCACTCTACCCCAGAAGCCTACTCCCCCATACACCATCCCTGTGTATCCCATCACCACACTCGCCCCCCTCTTCCTCGCCTCCACCGCATCCCTCCCGCTCGTGATCCCCCCACTCGCAAACACCACCGCCTTATCCCCCAGCTCCTTCTTAAAGCTCTGCACCAGCTCCAGCGTCTTCGGCAGGAGCGCGGGCCCCGACAACCCGCCCATCTCCTTCGCTGCAATCCTCTTCTCCTCCTCCGTCGTCTGCGGCGACGCCAAGATCTCCGCCGGCCGTGAGACCGTCGTGTTTGCGACAATCACGCCGGCCACACCAGAGCCCAGGATGGCGGCAGAGATGTCCTTGATGTCGCTCGGCGACGACGAGTCCGGCGACACCTTCACGACGACCTTTGGCTTGACCTTTCGCGGCGCCTCGTTCGTCGCCTTTACGACGGCGCCGAGAAGGTCCTGGAGGAGCTCCCGCTTCTGCAGGGAGCGCAGGCCGGGGGTGTTGGGGGAGGAGACGTTGACGACGATGATATCCGCGTAGCGGGCGAGCTTGCCGACGCACTCTGTGTAGTCGCGCTTCACGGCCTCGATGTCGGTCTCGGGGGTTGTCTTGTTCTTTCCGATCTGGACTGCGAGGAGGCGGTTGGGGTAGAGTGATGCGGGCAGGGTGGTGGAGTTGTAGACGTCGTCCTCGGAGATGCCGTGGGCTTGGGCGTAGCGGCGGACGCGGTCGCGGAGGCGGATGGCGGCGACGTCGGCGCCGACGGAGTTGAAGCCGTAGCGGTTGATGAGGGAGTTGCTGGTGGGGAGGCGGAACATGCGGGGTTTGGGGTTTCCGGCTTGGGGTTGGGGGGTGATGCAGCCGATCTCGAGGATGGAGATGGCGGGGGAGAGGGCGAAGAGGGGGTCGATGCAGGTGGCATGCTTGTCGAGGCCGGCTGAGATTGCGAGTGGGGTCTTGAGGTGGTGGCCGAAGAGCTGTTTGCGGTTATTTTGGTCAGTCTACATTTTCACCAGAGGGTGTGTGTGTGTGTATGTGTACCTCGACGCCCATTCCCTCCACATCAAGATATTCATGGTCCCCGCGCTCGCGGAGGGGGAGTCCAATGTCGAAGAGGCCCTTCAGAGCTTTGATGCCGACCTCGTGTGCCTTCTCAGCGCCATCGCCCTTCCCGCCGGCCTCCTTCGGGATGTCGTCACCGCTGTAGAACCAGCGCAGGAACGGCACCACCGGGTATTGGTGGATGGCTGAGCGGGTGTCGGTGAGGTAGTAGTACCCAAAGGCTACCGTACCCACCAGTGTGGTTCCAATCAGCGCGTTGCGGATCTTGTTCCCGGGGCGGGCGAGATTGGCAGCGGTAGACGAGAGACGCTGCTGCTGGTTGGGCCTCAGCTTCGGGACCTGCACCAGTAGCTTGGAAGGTGCCAGACGCAGCGTACTAGGCTGGCGGAGGAGTGACATTGTTCTCAGAGCACAATTGGGGGGATTCTTGAGTGGCGAGGGGGACAAGATGTGTTTCTGAGCCTCAAATTGATGGTGGGGTTGGCAATTGGGACAAGGAACCTAGGTAAGGAAAGGCTATGATAAAATGTTCCGAGAAACACGTTCTCCCGAGAATGTCACCTCTTCTTTTTTTTTTTTTCAGAACACCCAATATTAACTACATGTAACCAGCAATAACAGATGAAGTCAACTTAAGACCGGATAAACAGGCCAAGCCCCTCACTACAATTTTTTTTTTTTTTTTTTTTTAGCAGAGCTCGTTTAACACGGCCAATGATAGCCTCCGCGGCCGAGTCTCTCGTTGCTCCATGACGTTGGATTAAAGTTTGGCGGGGGGCCCAAAGGCTCGGGGTCTTGGAACTGGTTACCCGGACGGCGCCGGTTGGAACAGATACCCGCCCGTTGAATAATTCGGTGGTGTAAACAATTCCCGCATTCAGGCAACGATCGCGATTGTGGGGTGGGAAGTACAAACGCCCACAATAGAGTACAGATCACGCATCCTAGCTAGCTAGCCAGCCAATAATTCCCACAAATTCCAACCAAGCAAGATCAAACCAACCATCAACCCCTTCCTTCCTTCCCATCATCCGGGCGTCCATCGATCCATCCAACCGGCCATCCCGCCGCCTTGACACAAAACACCAAGGCACAAGGCACACAAAGAAAGAAAGAAAAAAAAAAAGGAAGGGGAAAGAAGTAAAAGTACAAGAACATCAAGAAACAAGAGGAATGAGAACTCGAGTACTGCGGTACATACTGCGGCGGTATGCGTACCTACATGTAGGCATGTGTGCATGTAGAGTATGTATGTGGGTATGACAATAGGTAGGTGGTACAGTCAGCATTACTCTTACCTTTACTCTCATTCATGCCTACCCATGACCCATCTCATTCATGTCGTAGAACGAACCTTGAACCTGGGTTTTATTTCAAAACTACCCAGCCCAGCCAGTCCAAATGAGCAATACTTACACGAAAAAATGAGGTGTGAACAAGGTCCTGGTCGAATTAAGCACACAAAGTAGGGTGTACCGTACCGTACATACCGTGCAGAGCAGAAAAAAAAAGAACAAGTAAACTAGGCATGTCACAAGTTCATCTCCTCTCACTCGCTCGCCGCCCCGAACCCGTACCCACCGCACAATGCCTGTGACGTGATATTTGAGTATGATCTGCACGCACGCACGCACACTCGCTCGCTCGCGCCCACCGCTCATGCTTCATGCACACAACGGGGGGGGGATTACTCATCACTTTTTTTTTTTTCCTTTTCCTTTACCAGTTCCCATTTCAACCGAAGGGAAATAATACTCTAGTAATGAAAGTTACATAACTGACTTTTATTGTTCCAGGGCTAGCTAAGAGAGAGTAAGGGTACTCACGGAGAGTTGTAATTCTTCCCACACACCCGTTCATTTGTTTTGAATCTGACGGTTATTGGGGGAGCCACCCCCGGCCCTAATTGCTACATTGGGCCTTTGATGGAAGGAAGGGGTGGTAGGGGGTGGTGGAGGAGAGGAGGAGGAGGAGGAGGAGGAGGGGGTTAAGTTACAATAAACCAGTAGGTAAACCGCCTTCACTTTCCCCCTTCCCATGTTTCGACCTTCCCTTTAATTCGACCTCCAGGCGGGGGGAGTGAAGGAGGCGCGCGGCGGCTCTTTACTGCACCTCTCGATGCGGGCAGAAGCAAAGCAAAAATTTTCTTTTCCCTTATATTTTTCCACCATATGCCTGAACGTACGGAGTTAGCTCCTGGCTAACTAACCACTGAGAGGGCTCAATCACCAGTCCACCACCACAACTACCACCACCACCATCACAACTACCACCACCACCATCCGCCGCCGCCGGCCAGGAAGCTGGAGCAGAAGCAAGAAGCAGGCAAAAAAAAAAAAAAAAAAAAAGATGGCATCCTCTAACCACATTAAGCGAGGATCATTTTTTTTTTATCCGGCCTAACCTACAATACTTAACCTAAACCCCCCCAACCCAACTCCAACTAGCGTCCTTCCACCCCCCCGTTCAGAAAGTGGCAGATCACTCTCGACACCACCAGAGACAGCAGCAACCTATTTCATCCCATTTATATTTACTGGGCCCTGCTACCCCCGTCTTTTTCGAGTTCTTCTTCCTCTTCTCTTTCTTCTCCATCCACAATCCACAGACAGCAATTGAGGACGCGTTAGGTTCTGGTTTTAAATAGCAGTCACCTTTTTTTTACTACTTACTGCTATTACTGCACTACTACCTCATACTACTACCAACCTCCAACTACAACTGCTACGACCACTACTAGGCCATTACCCCATATAATACCATCACTACCTCACCTCACTCACCTCACTAGCACCTCTCTATAAAACACCCACCAACCCCCCGCATAGTCCCATAACCCACCCCCTATAACCCACCCACCCCACACACACAGCCCACCATGGTAGCACGCGACACCTACCGCTGGGCCCTGATCAAGCACGCCACCACCAACCCCGCCTTCGTCGCCGTCGCCTTCCCAATGCCCTACAGCAAGTACGTCCTCCGCAACGACAAAGGCCCCGAACGCAACCTCAAGTCCTACCGGTCCAAGTCGCCGCTCTCCACCACCGTCACCACCTCCCCCTCCTCGTCCTCATCCCCCCCACCTCCACCACCACCTCCTCCTCCTCACCGCCCTCGCAGAAGCAGAAGCCCTCGCCGCTCAAGAAGGAGGTCATCTACACCGCCGCCGAGCTCGAGCCCCCCGCCCCCATCGTCGTGAAGCCGACGAAAACGGCACGCACGGTGCGCTGGGTGGTGGACGACGAGCCGTATGAGGCTCCCTCCCCACCACCGCCGCCCCAGCAGCAGCAGAGGAGGAAGGGGGGCAGGAGGGAGCACCAGACGCAGACGCCGTGTAGGAGTCAGTATACGCCCGTGAGGGGCGTGAGTATGTGGTTCACTGCTGTCTAAGGCGGTGATGAGGCTGAAGGGGAGAAGGCTGTAGGAATAGGGCATATAAAAAAAAAAAAGGATGGTACAGAATTGGGAGTTTTTTGTTTTTTGTTTTCCTTGTTTCTTTACTTTTTTTATTTTATTTTTTTGTGTTTGTGTGCAGGCAGTGTGCAGGCAGTGTGTGCTGTGGGCTGTGGTGTGGGTTCACCGGGTAAATTATTGGGATTCTTCTTTTTTTGGTTGTTGCGAGTTGCGAGATGGAGAATGGAGATGGAGAGAGAGCAGAAGGAGAGAGTGAAGGGGGAAAAAAAAAAGTTGTTTGTTTTAGAGGGCGTTCTTGATTTTACCTTATTATTACTATTTTTTTTTTCTTTTTTTGGTTGGTGGTTATCTTATTTGGGTTTTTTTTTTTTACATTACTTTTTTTTTTTGTCATGTTGCTTTCGGCCTACTTTTGTGCAGCAGAAACAGCAACCTCTAATTGCTCACTCGCTCGCTCACTTCACTAATTCTTTTTTTTTTTTTTTTTTTTTTTTTTTAACTTTCCTGGCCGTTGCGGTTGCATTGTTGCACATGCACATCCAATCGTACTGGCTGGGCCGCTGCACTGGCTGTGATCCGCGAGTTGATCGAGTGCTCACGTTGAATTCAGTTGCTTTCTGCTCCTGCTCACTCACTCAGTCACAGCCAGCCAGTACAGCCGTACAGTTCGCATCGCAATCACATCCAGCCAGCCAGCTATATCCCGTGCCGGCCGGGGCTCGGGTCTGGCTGCCAGCCAGCCTGCCTGCCTGCCTGCCTGCCTGTTGAATAACCACGGGAAAGTCAGGAAGGGAAGGGAGGGGAAGGAGGGGCGATGTTGGAGATAGAATTAAAGCGAGAGGAAGAGGGGTCGAAGGAAACCGAAACGGAAAGGGAGGGAGCGGGGTGGGTTTGGGCATGGATCGGAATACTACCTACTTACTTCACTTTTCCCTTTCTTGTTTGTTGGTAAATAACTTCCATCAGCCTTCACCTTTCTGGCGATTCTTACATACGTCCCAACCAGGCCCATTGTCATCGGTAGATACCGTTGCTTTTTCCTTCTTCTCGTTCTGATCGACCCCCCCCCCCCCTGCAATTCCTTCTTTCATTCCTTTTTTTTCTTTTCTGTTTGTATATATTATCCATACAGCTAGAGTAGATCTAGAGAGAGAGAGAGTAGTAGTACAGTAGCTATAGTAGTAGCATAGAAGTAGAGAGAGACAGCAGCAGCAGCAGCAGCAGCAGAGAGATACATGATGCGAGCTTCTATGTCAAGTATCTACATACCTGGTACCCTTGGGGCCGGTAGCTACATACCCAACCGCGGGCCAGTTAACCTAGGTAGAGAGCGAGAGCTCTTGCAAGATCTTGTGCGGGACGTCCGGACTGCTTGGTTGCGGGGTACATGTGGGCGTGGGGTACATCCATACCTACATCCACCCTGTGTGTGTAGCCCTACCCTGCCCTGCCCTGTCCGGTTGTTCCCGCCCCTCTGCAAAGGGTGGAATCGGAATGCCAACCCTGAGTGAAGAAGGAAGGGAAGGGAAGGGAAGGGAAGGGAAGGGGGGTGCAGGAAGAGGAAGACATTACAACGCTAGGAAGAATCGAGTGAGACAGCAAAAACCGGTAACCCACGCGACCGACCGAGACACACACAACACAGAGCCTCAAAACGGCAGTGTGTAGAGCAAGAGCAGAATTAAGCAGATGCGATGGGTCATGGCGCCCCGCCGAATGAATATCACAATATGACTCGATGGAGAAGAATGAGGAGAGAGAAGGGTCCTCTTCTTTGATTCTGCATGGCCCGTAGAATACGGAAATATTGTACCTACTCTATGGTTGAAATCAAATCCATCATGCACGCACGACGGACGGGTATGTACGGTAAGGCAGAATGAAACAAATGTAGGACGGTAGGTGTGAAATGGATGAATGCAACATCACCTCTTCATGTCGTGACTTCACGTCATTCCCTCTCACTCGAGCACGAGCGCGCGTGGTGGGCTCACCCTACCTCCCCTAGCTACCCTACCCAACCCTACCTTGCTTTCTTGCCTTGGTCGGTCCGCGGCATGAGCCAAAATGTCGCGGGCTTTGACGGAGGCCCAGGTTTTTTTTTCGTGTGGGAATAGTGAGATATGAATGCCGTCAGACAATACCGAGGGCCGGGCTCTCTGTTCTTGGAATTATTATATTCTCGCCTTTTCTTTTCGAGGTCAGCAGCCACGCCACTGATCTGAGGGAAAAGGGGGCTAAAAATAGCAAGCGCCTTGGTTCTGGACATTCGCCATAACCTTGAGTCTTGAGTCTTGTAGAGGGGTTAAAGCAAATTGCCAGACGAGAAAGATGAACGAGAATTGACTAGGTCTGGGTAATAGACCGGCGTGTTTATTGCAGCTCCCTCCTTCTTTAGTCATAGTATCGTCTCTGTTGCGTGGCTCTCATCTACTCTAGAATTGAATATCCACACCCCCCAGTCCAAGAGTTGCTTTCCCTCTTCCCTGTATTTCCCCGGATGCTTGCAGCAGACGTTCTGCTCCTGCTCTACATATCAGATCGATCCTGATCGCAGTAGATATCCCCCCACCGGCAACCCCACCCCCCTTTCTCCTCTTCCATTTCGCTCTGGTTAACCCTCCGGCTTCAAGTTAGCACGCTAGACTCCGTGAGGAAATTACCCGGGAAAAGAAATACCCGGGCCCCTCGGCATACGTCTGATCATCTTGAAAGGACATTTGTACGTACGCTTAGTGTACTAGCAGCGATATCGATATCCCGGTCTATCACAAATAGCTGCCTCTCAGTGTAGGCAATCGGTTTTCCTCTAACAACATATGTGGTGCTGTTACCGAAATTCAAGAACATCGGAGACCTCTTCACAATCATACTTTCCGGTATGCTGAAGGTTCCGTCTTCACTTCTTTCAAGTGTAGGCCCAGGCGCCTCCAATGAATCATCCTGGAGATTCTCTTTAGGTCTTTCGACTGATATAAAGTACTTTTCTGGATCCAGGCCCGGGTCATCTGAATCAATTCCCCATTCCCCGATGTTAACGGGATGCTCGGTGCCTACAGCCATTCTTGATTCTTCAAACGACCCCGGGCCGGCTTTAAAAGGCACCATATAAGTGCCCAAGGTCGCAAGGCTCATGGCAGCTTCCAATTGCTTTTCATCACCCCTCACCAACCTCACTCTGCCTAAATTGCCTCTTTTCCTGTCATTAGCAATGCCCCGAAGATGATTTAATCTATATATCAAGTCCATATTGGGGTATGGAATTCCTCTTGCTTGATAATAAGCCCTTTCTTTTCTTCTTTTCTCGTCGAAATAGTCAGTATTATGATAAATGACCACTCCATTGAACTTGTGGGATAAATTCAAACGACGCAGAGATATGGCGAGCTCGAATGCTAGAATGAGACTGGCAAGGCAGGCTCGTACCAGAGTTGGAGCCACCAACGTTAACTTTGGATCAACTTCCTTTGGTGCCTTCATCCTTTGTTGCCTCAACTTAGGTAGGCAGTAGTAAGTATTATATACGGATTGAGGAGCAAAATGAACCGCAAAGCCATTCTCCAAAGTGAGCTTACCACCCACATCTCTACCGACACAGGTTCCAACCGCGCAGATAGATAACGCCTCCCCTTCGTAGGTAAGCTGTGTTGTAGATTGTCCAAAATGAATAGGTGAAATCCGTTGTTCGAGGGCTGGAGTGGCTACAATGCTGAACATAAGATGAGGATACATTTGAAAGAAATCCTGTCCTAGGCAAAGTTCGAAACCCTCGCGGTCTGGATCTACTTCTCTTTTCTCTGGTTCACCGTTTGTTTCTTTTCCCTTTCCCTTTTCTTCTCCATTTCCGTTTATTTCCCCTTCCTTTCCCTCTAATATTTCTCCGTTACCCTCATCTTTTTCTCCCCCCTCGACTACCTCCGTCTTTTCTTTCTTGCCATCCCTTTCCTTCTCGTCCATCCTTTTCTTCTCAGCCGGCGTGATAATTGAAGGCTCCGACCCAGGGCTAAAGAACTCCGTCACTAAGACTACATCCGGCATGTGAAAATAGTGATAACTCTTCTGCTCCCCCGGCGCCTTCTCCTCCACCTCCTTCTCATTTTCCACCATGAAGTGGACATCCATCAACCCATGAGCCACCAGCTGCGGCGTGCAGGGATTCCTCTTATCCCTATCCTCCTCCAACGCATCTCCCAGCGCAGAGGTGAAGAAATAGAGCCGTTCACCCCTATAGACGAACCCGGAATCAACCTCCACGATACGGCCCTCCCATACGAATCTTTTCGGAAGCTTACGAGAGGCCTTGACAGTGATCATACTGTGGGACGTAGTTTCGCTGAAGAAGCAGCGTAGTGTCTGGGGGGACTTGGGCCCGCGCATGTCGATACCCACGGGGATGTGGGCGAGGAAGCCCTCGAGGCAGTGGATGCGGCCGGTGGGGGGTGGGAAGAAGTCCATGCTGAGGTGGATGATTTTGGGGGTTGGCATATAGGGGCGGACCATTTTGTGATAGAGACGAGTACGAGGGTTCCTATATAAGTTTGCTAATTGGGTACGTTGCTGTATATATTGGCGTTGACCGAGGTGGACGGAGAGAATGGCAGCTTAAACAGGATGTTTATGGATTGTGGGGCTTGGTGCGCCATGGAATCTATCGAGAATATGACGTGGCCACGAGTGGTTCATTTGGTAGATTTTTAATATTTGGCAGGATTAGAACGTAGAGTTTAATTAGTCACTGGCGGGCACTATTACGTGACGTATATCCACGAGCGGTCCCCAGCCGCCCCAGCCCACCCATGAATTAAACCTATACCGCACTTACTAGGAATACTTAAAATTCAAGAATTCAGTGGTTAGTTTACGAATAGTGACCAGCCGACACCCGACACTCTTTCGCCTATTCCCATCCCAGACTACGTGCTGATTCCAAGTAACGACAAAGGTCTCAATGTAACGAGACAAATTATCTTTCGTCATAGTCTGTACTCCTGTGGCAGCAAGCCCGCGCACCTTTTGGGTGGCTCTTCGATCGGATGAGAACTTTTTCTCGACAAACAAACTCAAATCTAACCCCTTCTCATGTAGCTAATTTAAGAATCATGGTATATCACTCGCCATGCGTACATACGTCATTGGGGACTTGTGGCTTTTTTTTTTTGTTTAATGGGACTTGTGGCTTCTACTATCGACTTATAGAAGTACACCCCCCAAACATATACGTTTCAAGTGCTTATCCTATCAATCAGCAAGACACGTAACAGTATGTGACTACATAGGCATATAGACTAGGAAGAAAACAAGTACCCTCCTTCTAGTGTGGTCGACGAGTCGAGTCCGCTCGAGTTCACGGCTCGAGCTTTGTACTCGAGCAAGGACGAGCAGGAGGGGCCACGAGTCGAGTTTTCGCGAGCACTTCAGAAAAATCGACTCGAGTCCCCTCAAAAATATGTTTATAGCCTACATAGTACCTAATTAGGCAAAGTACTGAAAATGATATTTGCGAAAAATTGATCTTTGGTTCCAATTTGACATAGTGGCCTTTGATCTATCAACATATGCTAAGATCCTATATGATTAAAAGACTCGAGCAACTCGAGTTTCCTCACGAGTCGAGCAGAGCAGGCCTCGTAAATCAACGAACTCCTCGAGCCAATCCTCAAACTCGACTCGATCGGGCTCGCCGACCACACTACCTCTCCTCCCCCTTCCTCACTCATTTGTTCTCGCTTTCTTGATCACTCTATAGTTCTCGTTTCAAATCGGGTGGTCACCGCTATTGATAACAGCGACGACAGTGTTAATACAGATATAGTTTCTTATGATTCAGGGGGTAAGGTTTGTTCTGTGCGCATGTGGAGATATTGAGTGATCACTCATGACTTCGAGTATAGACTGTCCCTATTTTCCGTTGTCTCTCAGCGATTCACTAGTCCCTAAGTCTGAACTAAGTTATTACAACTATTCTTTAGCGGGCTTACCTCTTTCTACTATCCTCAATTGAGTCCGACATTTCAAGGGCATTTGCAGCTGCGTATGTAAATTGCATGGCTCATAAAAGTACACCACCGAACAGATACTTTTCGAGTGTCCTGTTTCTCAGTAAGACACGCAACAAAGTACGTACAGAAATAAAATGCATGCGGAGGGAGAGGACAAGTATCCCATCTTGGCCTTACTGTCATAATTGGCTTCGTACTCCCCTCAACTCCCTCTTCCCCATTCGTTTCTCTCTCCATCTCTCTATCACTATCATCTCGGGTATGTCACTACATGTAGTATAAACCAGGCAGTATTCCCCATTGCCCCTTTGAGTCCTGTCAATGCTCCTACCCGAAAGCTAGCAAGCCCATATCCTACAGGCCCGGGCTATCACTTAAAAAACGGGCTTGGTTTTATTTCCGGTCCTGAATGACACGGGTGATGGCATGTACTTCCCGGTTTGAAGCACCCGAGCCCGAACTAGCTCCAACAACGCATCGCTGGATTTAGAATTAACCTCGAGCCAAGAGCCACGGTATTCCTGCTGGTTACCTATTGTTGGAAAACTGGATAATTACTTAACCTCTCTCCGAAGCACAGTATGAATGGGCCTCGTTGTCCATTTGGTGGGAGTCGGCAGTACCTGCATGCACGGGTCAGAGATCACTGGGGAGATACTATCGATGTTAAAGCCTTTTCTGTTCTACCGGGTTCCTGCTTTGAACATGAAACCCTGGATCTGTATCCCATATGCACAGTCCTTTTATCTGGGTGGACTATCTTGGGCAATGACACTCCCAGTACTAGAGAGGTTTCGCAGCGTCTTTTCAGATAGGAGGTGCGCATACAGGATGCAGGACCTATGCGCAAAAATAACCAAACAAGAAGAGAATAAAAATGAGGTTTTGCTTCCTTCGCATCCGACAATGCGCCAAGTATGCCTAGGGTGAATTGACTACTCTCCTCTGGGAATTCTTGTAGGTGTAGTTACGCGGAAACTTGATGCAGCCCTTAAGCTGATACATCCGCTTATGATATACTGATGCTTGGTATCCGACAACGAAAAAATTGACCTACTTGCACATATGAAGCCATATGTGTGACTTTATGCACCCTAACTATGCGAAAACCTCGTTGTCGGACGCTGCGAAACCTCTCTAGTAGCGTCACCTTGAACTTTGCTACTGCACGAGGGATGCATATTCGGGATGATTTCAGACTCGCTACGTTTCAGCATGTAGCACTACGAGACAAACATCTTAAGTATAAACCATTACCATTACCAATATTATCATTACTAATCTCGTCCTACATACAGACACGAGGAGATATAAAAAAAAGTATACACTCTAAGGCTGAGCAGCAACAACATACTGCTTCTCCCTACTCAACCCGCTCAAAACATCATTATCCAAATGCAGCGTATCCTTCACCACCTGCGGCGGTGTGAGTGCCATCCACTGCCCCAAACTCACATCTTCAAACTGCGGCGCCTTCAGCACCTCGAGCAATACCACATCCTCATCCCCGATATTCTCAATGTAATGCCCCTGGTCTACAAGGATATAGCCCACGTCCCCCGCCGCATAATCAAATGTTCTTGCCGACTGTGGGGCATCAAATACCGTGATTCTTGCCCGGCCCGAGATGAAGAAATTCCATTCATCAGAATTGGGATGCTGGTCCAATCAGAATCTACATAGAAGGGAAAAGGGGGGGGTAGGAACCCAATGCATCTCCCTCATAGCACCCGGCTTTATCGTCACCACAGCGGCCGCAATACTCGTACTCGCTTTGAACGTCCCCGAGTCCACGACCTTGACACTACCGCCCGGCACCACCATCGGCTCTTGCCGCGACAAATGGAAACTAAACGGCTCGGGGATTGTGCCCTCGGGGCTTTGCACCGCATCCGCACTCACATTGACCGCCGGGGGCGTCCCATTGAATATATACAGCTGTTCCTTTGGCACCTCGTCAAACGCCTTGATGGGGACTCCGAAATTCTTCGCCAGGACCTCGCGCGGCGTGTGTGAGAACCACTCGGTGATGAGGAACGTGTCGTCCTCCGAGAAGGCGCCGTCGTCAAAGACGAGCAGGAACTCGACGCCGTTCTCGAGCGCCTGGATTGAGTGCGGGAGACCGGAGGGGAAGTACCAGAGGTCACCCTCTGACACGTCGTCATTAAAATTGCGGCCCTGCGCATCAATCGCGGAGATTCGAGCACTCCCGTTGAGGACATAGGCCCACTCGTTTGCGCTGTGCCCTGCATAAATACACACATCAGAATTAAGCCACCCCCACAGAGAGCTGCGCCGGTCATGAAGTATTATATAGAGAGGTTACAATGCAGCTCCCGATACGCATCCGGCCCCAACCTCATATCCACCCCCGCCATCTGCTTCGCCGCCGGCAACACATCCACATTCTGCTGCCTCGCCCACCCCGCGCCCGTCATGCGCGTACTCGACAATCCCATCGGCCACTTTGCCTGCTGCACATCTCCTTCATCTGTCGTCGGCCTCGCCAGCGTGTCCGGGTTCTGGCGGTCATACGCCGAGTCATGCGGCCCTGGATCATTACTCCCCATATCCCCGCGGATTGGCTGCGGGTCGGTCACATTCAGGAAGTCGAACGACTGGCTTGCATCGGCGGACGAATTCGAGGCTTGCCCGGGGACGAGGTCGGGGTGGGCGTTGATAGTGTTTTGCGTGGGCTCTGCACTAGCGCCGGGCGGGAGCGGGCCGGCGAGGGAGGCGGTGGCGGTGAGGGCGCCGGAGACGGGGATGGTGTGTGTTGCGTAGGCGGAGGGAGGGGGCGTAAGGGTACCGGTCCCGGCGGGGATGCTGAATGCCAGGTCGAGGAGACAGAGGAGGGGGAGGTACTGGTATACATATCGAGAACTGGACATAGGGAGCTGCATGTTGGGTAATTATTTCGTATATAGATAGCATTCGAGGATATTCAACTCCAACTCCACAGATAGGCCATATATAAAAAAAACCCCTTCCATGCCGGATCGTCATCGCCGCTCATGTTCTGTGAAGAACGTGTTCTCCGAGTGCAACTTTATGACGTGACATATACGCCAAGCACCGCGACTACCGGCAAACTCTAATCATTGACAGGGCTACGGCCCCTGGTAGCACACCACGCGGTGATGTCAGCACAGCGAATATAAGCTTTTGCAGTCGACTTGGCACTCACTCATGCACTCTAAGGAGGTGGTGGGAGAAGGTCTATTTGTGGAACGGTGGAGATAGCGATAGAGATATAAATCCTGGACTGGGTGGAGGTCTGGTTCGAGTGGTAGAAGCAGCAGCTAGGGTAATTAAAAGAGGCAAGCTGCAATCATGAGCCGTGATTCGGCACCTGTACCCCCCCCATGCACCAACCACCTGCAGCAGGCACGAACGCGTCCCCCCACGTACCCACGAGCAAAAAAAGATGATACCCACACGTGATTTCGTTTTTTTTTGCGTTTCTGCCTGATACAAATAAAGCTGCATAGAGTACATGTA